ATCTATATATATATATATATTTTATTGCAATTAAAACATTAAGATTAATTTAAATAAAATATACATATTAAACAGAAAGAAAAAAACTGTCAGTTGAAAAACAATTAAATATTTTATGGAAAATTTTCGTATTTTTAAGTAATGAAAAAGAGATTATAGAGTCGAACAAAATCCATGTGGAAATTATTTAAATGATTTGAATCAAAGAAGTAAGAACGAAACGAATTATTTAATTAATTATGAATGAATCCGTGATATCAATACACAATAAATAGTAGATAGAAATTGAGTTTATGGCAAGAAGCGAATAAGCATATCGGTCGAAATCGTTTTGATGCTTGAATTATGTCATTGGCTCAAGGAAACTATGGGGTCAATTTGGTTATTCGTCGAATGAAAGATCGGGAGTGTTAAAGATGCCGGCGCCGTCAGACGCTCGTTTATTAAACGCGAAAATGTTAGCGAATATTCGACGCATATGTATTCATAGTTAAATCTTTAAATAGAAACAATTGATAATTGATAGTTTCGTTTAGATTGTTCTCAAGAATGAATATCAATCGCTCAATTTTCTAGTCATTGATTCATTTGCATTTTCCACATGCTTTATATATTTAAGAACCTAAGTTTAATGATAATTCCAAATGATGCATTAAATACATAAATAATTAAATTAGATGAGATTTGAAAATATCACGTATGTACATATTTTCTCATATATTGTCTCATATTAAAATTCAAGCAATCAAAAAGAGTGCGCGATGTTTAGAATATCACGTTTATCATAATATTCAATTACAAATGTTATTTTATTATCACAAACGTGTTGTCGATACATGTGGTTACGTTATACTATCGTCAGTTAAACATAGTGAATAGCAAAATATACATATCGCGACGTACCCACATCTTCGCTTACGGACAGAAATAATCTTGATGAAGAAAAAATAACTACAACCGAATTTTGCACGCTAGAATAATGAAATTAATATAGCAACAATAAGCAATAAGAATCACAATGTAATAAAAAGCCAGTCCAAATATTTCTCATTGTTTATGTAAGTACAATCATCTGATTTCTAGAACTACACACTTCTTACATTTTTAGCTACATCTTCGATGCAATCGATATTATCAAGATTTTTACTAAACAGATTGAGCATAGCAATCCGCAACTTTATACAACTTTTGTAAAATACGGGAGCATAGAATAACAACATATACAGTCAGAGTTGATTAAAACCTCACATGGAGTTTGCAATAATCTCCCGAAAATATGCAGAAATAAATTATATTTTACCTCAAATATAACAAATCTTTTTTGTATTCTAAAAAATATTTGTTCGTATCAGGATAATAATTTCATTAGTAATAAATATACTTGATTATCCTTTCAGAATATTAAAACCGGCACATGTAACGAAATGTGAAAGTTTCTTTAATTCAAGATAACATTTCTCAAAGGAAATAATTTATTATGTTTTATTATCTTTTTCTCTTCAAATGGCCATGGAAATAATTATTTAAAAAATAAATATTAAAATTTATATTTAGGAAAACGTTAATATAAATTATTGATCTCCTTAAGTTGTTTTATTTTTTGGAATTAAAAATAATTTTATCAAAATTTAAAATCGAATATATATTAAATCTTTCACAGAAATGTTTATTCTATTACTTCGGAAGATTTTTCAGACTCTGCTCTTTTTTTTAACTCATGTCATTAATCAGTGCCTATTGCGAAGAAGCTTCGTATTTTATACGATGATTCAAACGGCGGCATCATTTAATCAGATCGCGAGCCATGTTGCGTGTTCATTAATTTAATCACATTAAATGCGAAAAAATAGGCGGCTCGCAAATTTTTTGGATGCTCTTTCTTACAATCGATACATACTTAGGCTGCAACGAAGAGTAAAAGCTAAGAACGCACAAGCTGATTAAGTGTTATGTGATCGCATACAACAGTCACTCATAGTTACAATAGTAGTCCATGTATGCAAAACAACATAAAAATCTTGCAAAATCTCTTCACATAACAAATCTGTAGTTAAACCAGTTTCATTGTTAATCGGAGTACAAACATTTCCGTCTTAAATGCGCAATTCCTTATTACTGCATCGGAGTTAAATAATAGATTAGCATGTTCGGCCATGTAATGTAATACTATTTTATTCATGCAATAAACATATAACCAGTCCTATCCATCCCTATCACAAAACTGAATCATAGTAGGAAACAAAATCTCACTTAAGGTAAATGTATCACAAATATTATGTGTGTGTCTGATGACCAGATTAATG